ATTGTATGCAAAAAAAGTATAAAAAAGTAAAATAAACAAATAGCAACTTTCTACATCTATATCCTCTGCTAAATTTAGAACTTCATTTATCAGTGAATTCAAAAGGTTCTCCAGTAGTAGCCGCATACCAGTAAGCAAATCGTAAGACGGCCCCCCACTAAGGTGTTAACCTGATAAGACATACAGGAAAATGATGGGTGCACATGGGGGAGGTCTGTGTATGACGGCATTCCTCGTGTAAGGCCTATGTTCAGCAGTGGACTTATAATGAGGCTATAATGACGATGATAATAGGATGTTAGAATGAGCCAATAACCGCAATACACTCTCCCATCATCAAGTTGTGATATTTTCGGTTCTGCTAATGTAAATGAATTACCTACAGTAGTGCGTTGCTAAAGCACTATTTATTTAGTAAGCAGGTCACTTCATGCAGGTGATGTTGGAATTTGGTGAAAAGTTTGATAGATTCCCCCTTATTTTAGGTCAAATATAAATTAGAATAAAATAATAATATTTAGATCAACAAACTTACAAAATTGTGATGTGTATGCCAAGGCTCCTGCAACAGTCTTGCTTAACACACGACTGCAGTTTTTCACCTGAAAGACCAAATGTTAATATTAATTATTTTGGCTTTATTCCAAAACTGTATTTACATAAAATAGTAATAGATCAACATTTTAATTTACACTGAAAGGTATAAAATTGTTAATGATAATTTATTTTCTTATATTGGTAGGCTTACCTTCATTTTTTTTATTTTCTGAGGAATGACATGTTCATCATTTAACTTATGCAGCAAACGCATTTCTGCATGTTTGCAGTCTGTTAAATAAACATCTACAATGTCATTCCATTTTGATGTTTTCCCATTCAATAATATATTTTTGTCAAGAAAATTGTTTCTTAGTCCTTTAATGAGGTGCGGAGGATCAAATATCACATTAATCTTTTGACCTCTTATTATGATTGTGTCGTCTGAAATGAAAACAAAAATTTGGTTAATAGGCAATTAAAAGTATAAAAATGCATTACTGATAATTTTAGCACTTTATTAAGAACTTTAATTTGTGGCTTTAAACCTTTCATTCAATTATCTTACCAGTATTTTCCTTTGCCAATATTTGTTTTTTTCTTGTATCTTCCTTCAACTTATTAATAGCTGACTGGAATGAAGTTCCCTGGTCTGATATCAAAGCCACAGGAATTAATCCAGTTTTTATTATTTCTTCTGTCACTTGCTCTATTATATTTTTTAATATAAGTGCAGGTGTAGTTCCTTTACAAAAATAAAAGGCAATAGGCTGTTGCCATTTGTGTACAGCACCTCGAATGAGGAACACTAAGGCATGGTCAGCATAGTCACAGGTTTTTGACAGTAACTCTACAAGCCCACAGATATTGTCATTGTATTTGTCATATGTAAGACCTGGCTCTATCGAAACTTCATCAAATATTAGCGAGCAATATTTTTTCGATTCTTGCCAATTTACAACCTAGGAATAAAAAACATTAGGTAATTAACTTAACATAATAATATATTTAACACAAAAATGAGTGTTTAAGGAAACAGTATACCTCAGTTTTAATCGCTTTGAATATATGAGGATTTATTCCCGAATCCATTTTCAACTTATTAATTAATTTATTAATTGTCCTTATGGAGGGAAGAATGAATATTCTTCGTAAAAATCTGTAGCTTTTTGGGCTTTGTTTCATTATAGCAAGTGCAATCATTTTTTCCTCATCAGAGAATCTCCACCCTTTTGAATGTTTTCCACTTTGCATTATTTGCATCCATATAATTTTTTTCGCAAGGGGTTTCAAGTTACAAGTTAATTTTTCAAAGTTTTCCTTTTTAGAAAACTTCATAGCCCTTTTGGCTCTTTTAGCAAAACTTAACTGTTTTTTAGCTTTTTTTAACTCGTTCAATATTCTCAAATATGATGGTGAAAATTTTTTATTCCTTGTAGTATTCTTCCGGATGCACTTTTTAGATGTCACCACATTACTACATTGCGGCAAATCTGCACAACATAAAATTTACTACTTAAAATTTCAATAATAACAATCTATAAAATATGACATTAATATATACAAATAAATAAAATTGACTCAATCGAAAGGCATGCTAAGAAGCTTATTGGTGACTTGAATTTGGTTAAAACAAATCTAACTAGCCTCGAACACAGGCGCAAAGTAGCCAGCCTTACGGTTTTCTACAGGATGCATGTCGGAAAGTGTGCTACACATCATTCTTCATGCGTCCAGCAAAGGAGTGGAATAAGTAGCCAGCATCTGTTTTTCCATTTGATTACAATCTGGGTGTCTTCAAGGCAAGAGTGAATAAGCTTTTGTTAAGTCAGTGTGCTTCACAATCTTAGGCTACAACATCACCACTTACCATCAGGTGGGATTGTAGTTAAGAGCTGGCTTATATTTAAAAAAATATATAAATAAACAGTTGAGTTACCTGGTATTATCGGTTGTTGATTGTTTTGGTCACAAGCAGTTTTTTCAAAGTCCTTACTAGTAGATGGCATATTGGCTAAAACATAAAAATAATTTAAACTTAAAGTATAAACTTAAAGCATGACAATTGAATCATTATAAAAGTTAAAATAATTTTGCCTAATTTCTTTAAAAAATTATTACTGTATTTTTAGAAGAATTTATGAAGATTTTTATGATTTTTACAATTATATTTACCAGTTTTGTCATGATGTAGACACACTGCTATTTTTTCTGTCATTTTAAAATGTTTATAGATGGATGGTGGTTCATTGTAATCTGGAAACAAATATTTTTTTCATAGTTAACGGTGAACAGCAGGCAAAATCCTTAAAATTTCTGCCATCAAAATGATAGTCACATCAGATAGTAGTTGTGTGGTATATATATTAAGAGCTACCACTATAGCTCGTGAAATAAATGACACAATGAACAACAAAGTGACTATCATTGTGATGTCAACAAAGTTAATGTAATAATAGGACAGCAGAAGTTGCTGTCATCTTAATGATGGCTTTAAATTTTTAAATTATATATAAATATTTCAATAATTGTTATGTTAAATATTAACAGTTTACATCATTATTCTAGGTTTAATAATGATCTCTTTCCCCTAAACCATTAAAATGCATTAATGCACAACTGTTCTGCTGAGTGTAAAGAAAAGATAGAAAAAAGTACCTTGTGATTTCAAAGGTTGTGTTTTGAAGTAGGAATGATCTTCATGGTGTCTTTTTCGTGCTTGTGTATAATCATGATCATAAAAAACATTTTGGTTTTCTGAAATAAAAAGGATTTGAATAAAACAAACCATTAGAGATAAATTCATGCATTCGTTACAGCCTAACAAAGACACAAAACCGTGTATTGTCCTGAGGATTTTGATTTCAATAGCCTTGCGAAACATCCTTGGAAGGAATCGGTGTTCTATAGAGAGGATTTGTGGTCATCAAATCTAATGTAGTAATGGGGGCGATCCTGTATGAGTTCACAGACTGCAGACTTCCCAGAGCGTGGATTCTTAACATCAGCTATGTGTTCTTTAATGTGGGTTTTTATTGATCTTTTAGCTTGTCCTATATAAGAGAGACCACATTCACAAATCAAGCTTGTACACTTCTTCTTAAGTGCAATGTCACTCTGCAAGATGCAGGAGCATCTTGCAGAGTGACATTGCACGTAAGAAGAATGATAGTAAAAACTTTAATAATTTTTAATCTGGAGGTAACCATGGTTAACTATGACATTGGGACTTCAAACACCTCAGTCCCCCCGTGACCATGGGTGCTGCTGTAAAGTACTTGAAACATCAGGAATATAAATTAAGTTAATATCTCACATTTAGAGATGCATTGTAGGAACTGTTTTTCGATGACATTTGACATATTACCAGTAAGGCTAAAAGTTGTAAAAGCAATAAAAAGGTCTTATTATAGAAATGAAAAGTTTTAAGAGTGTTATTATATTTATACAATTTTTCAGTTAATTCATTAATATGTTTTCCCTATCTAAGTGAACAATGCAACCACAATCTTAAATACATGATTTCATTAAAAAATGGCACTTGTAGACTTAAATGTAATAATAACTAATAAAACAGTTTAGCTATAATGGATTTTAGTTAGATAACAAAATTTAAATTAGGATTGACAATTATTTCAGTGATATTGGCTGATTATTCTGCAAGAGCTTTGTTATGAAGAGTTATGCATAATTATACTAAAAATACAACATCAAAGAAGGCATCCCTAATAGGAAAATAAGTAGATTACCATAGTTTTCCATTTCCAGAGCAGGTATTCCAGTATTTATTTCGTCAGCCGTAAATAAAGTGGGATAAGCAAAATGGCGAAGACGCAAACTGCCGGTAACAAATCTCGCCTCGAAGTGCTTGTGACACACAAAAAACTTATGTAGTTCTTCTGCACTGAGCTGCTTTAATTTTTCACAATTAATTTTTTCCACCCACTTGAGTCCTATCTCAGTCTTTGGAAAACAATGTAATTTAAAATTACGACGCTTGCTTTCGCAATGCGGAACACAACAAGTATTCTTCATGATGAAGGGTACACTTGTATCACAATTTTGAACGTGAGAGGATAAGCACGGAGTTTAACACTTCAACGTAACTTCACTCGATCAAATCCAAAACTGTAATGAAAATTCAAAATTGAAAATGAAAGCACAAGGCATTGAAACTTAGTCTGTGGTAATAAGAAATGTCATATTCTAAACTACCGTTTATCTATGGTTGAAAATAAGGGCTAATTTTTTTGTTCTAAGATTCCATGCCGTGATAGTTTGTGATCCCTGGCTTCAAGAACAAGAAGTTAAACATTTTGTTTAAAAATTGTATTTATCCAGCAAAAAGTCTAAAAGTATCTAATTTTAATAATTATATTACCTATATAATAAGCACCGGGTTAGCTAGTGTTTTAGAAATTTGTTTACGAACTCTCAGATGAAGTAAAAAAAGCGAACCCGTGATGTCTACATCTACAGTTTTGCGAGTCAAAAGAAGATTGGAGGAAAATCCTCAAGATGCTTTGGTACTCTTGTGTAAGCGAGTAAAAACCGACAAAGAGGAAATAGCACCCTCTTTATTCGTTTTTAGAGGAACCGTAGAAAATGAGGTAAACAACCAGAAAATAATAACATTTTAGAGATAACCAAACAATTTGAATTTAAAACAACAAATCTAATATTATATTAAACTGATAGTCTGCTTGAATTGAGATTATAATTGTCATTATTAATGTTTTCGACATTTTTTGTAGCTTGAAGTGTTATTTTTATTGAATCCTTTTAGGAACCACTACTTGTGAAGAATGTTGTACCTAAGGAAGAATTGAAACATAAATCTATACCCAATGTAACTGATATTATATATAAAATTAGAAAGGAACGGAAAGATATCTCAACTGAAAATCGTTATGAGGTTATCAGATGTTGTAGAGGTTTGAAAGATGACAATAGTGATAGCAATGATGACATTTTCGATTTAGTAGATTTAGCAAAAGCAAATGATAAGGAAAAAGATGTTGGATATACATATGATGTGTATACATCTGCTAAGCCAGATTTTGATGTTTCTATGTTGGACGATTTGGTAAGGTAGGTTCATTCAATGTGATCATTTTATACTATATCAGACAAGGTTCCGGGTAAGGTTTGAAAATAGGTCGCCTGATTTGGAGGGTGACGGGTGGTGGGGGAGGACTTCTTTTTCCTGCCGGACGTGCTTAGACCTGATTTATGGGGGTAGAGAGACAATATTATTGTGAAAGCTAGATAGCATACATAGTTTTGTGTAAGTGTGACAAGGATGTAAGACCATGTCAAAGACTTTAGTCACATTATTATACTTATATGGTATTTTTATTTTTCGGTGGTTTATGCTCTCATAATAAATTATGTTTACAAACAATAAAGAAATGCTTATTATATACTTTACATCCAGAAGTCCTTTCAGTTGAGTTAGGTTAGAAGGCTATGGCGGAGCGAAGTGCAGTGTAGCTCCCGCCAAAGTCTTCGTAGTTATTTTTGTACCACTCAGAAATCGTTACAGTTGTGATAGGGGACACTCTGCAGGCGAGATAAATGTTATCATTTTGAGGTTAGGTCTATGAGATTTTCTTTTCAATTTTTCTCAATAATGGTGTATTACCTTTTCATGGGAGTGGTGTAGGGTGCACTCCTCTCCCTTCCTGACAGATGATTCTAAATTTTTACCATTAATAAGGTGAAAAGATTTTGGTATTCAGCTTAATAGATTATTAGTATAAGATATTATATTGTAAGTTAATTTTAAAAAAAGGCTAGTACCTCCTAGGATAGACGTTATTTCCGAATCTTATTGACTTTCAATAAGTAATCCTGTAATCTATATTGAATGAAAATGACTATTCTACTATATTCTAAGGTTTTGCTAATAATTATTCAAAAATCATGTTTACATTACTAGTTGACTAGTTTAAATGTGTGAACCACGGGATGGAGGATTCACCATCACTACATGTTAATGCTTATGTGTTAGTAGTAAAATACCCATACAGGTGAAATTCAGCAGTGTCAATGGTGCAAGTTGTCTGGCACTGAAATTGCCAATCTGCTTGCCAAGCATAACATTCAAGGCAAGTCCTTCCTAGGGGAAGCTCATGTTCAGTAGTGGTCTTTCATTTGCCAATAAAGGATGTTTCTGAAAAGAAATACCACATAGTACTCTCACATAGTTAGTAATTCATGAACATAAATATGTCAAAAGTTATCTATTGGTTTTAGCATTGAAAACTATGAGACAGATCTGATATTTGGCTCCTATAGAGACAATGGTCAGTTACCATCAGATGCAGAGGCTGATGATGAAGATGATTCTAATGATGAGAATAACTGGAGGAATGAATATCCAGATTCGGAGCCAAGTAGCATTGATGAAGATGATATGATACAAGCAATGGAAAAATGTGACATAGGTGGGTTAAAATAAAGAAATTTAGTGCTGTGTTCAGGCCTATACAGCTCATTTTTACCTAGGAGTTCAACTGAGGAGGTGGAACCCTCATAATTATTTCTGCCTCCAAGTAGCAATGCATCCATTTCTGTATTCCAGTTGGAGAGACATAGAGAGCCAGTGCAAATACACTGTAAGGTACTCCATATTCAAGTGATGACAATAGACTTGTTTCCGTTGGCTACAGTCCTACTTTTTATAATCTAGGGTTGACAAGCACACAGTCCACCAGATAGTAAGTGGATGCTGTGGCCCATAGACATCTACATCCATCCCCAGTTAAGAATAAAAATGTAGATGCATTCTCAACCCTGAGGAGTAAGATGCAATACCTCGTTTCCAGTAACAAGGGTTTCCGGTTCTCTACACTTACCATTGAAACAACAGCATTAAGCTGCTATTTTACGCTGGTATTCTGTGAGAGCGTAGTTATTCCCTGGTGGAGCTGACCCATTTGTGCTACGACTATACTACTTATACAGCTGTAACTCTATCACGTAAAAAGGGAATAGAAAATAAAATACAACAACTTACCATCAGATACTCAAGTTTGTTTGTCACTTATATTTATTATTAAAATAATAAATAAATATTTGTCATTGATTAACATGTTTGGTGTGGTACTAGACACAAACTGTAGATTTGTAAATTTTCCCCTAGTGCTACTATTATTAAGAAAAATTCATCAAAATATACACATTGAAAGCAAACAGAATTGAAGTTGATGGCTCTGTGGTGCAGTGGCTTAGCAATGAGTTGTTGCCCTGGGGGCTGCAAGATCGAATCGCACACGGAACAAGTATTTGTATGGCCTACAAATAATTGTTCCGGGTCTGGATGTTTGTCCTCATGCAATTTATGTTTGTAAACTGCCTCCACGATACAGGAGAAAATCCTAGTGTGGTGGTAATGTTTTTTAAAGAAAGAAAATAAAACTAAATAAAACTATTTTTAGCGAAGAAATAAAATAAAACCAGTGTATAGGGCAACAACATTATGGACCGAGATGGAATACCTTTGTAGCAGTGAAATTGCTGTAGATCACGACACAAATCATACAAAACACAGCAGCATTAGGATGTTATTTTACATTTGTATTATGTGAAAGCGTCGGCCTTCTCATGTCGAGTTGAACCATCCATCCAAATACTGCTGCACCATAGTTCTGCCACATATAAATTTCGATATTATATAAAATGGGACCAAAATTCTTCATCTTTAAAAACCTTTATCACTTACAGAAGATAATCTATCCAGTGACACGGGTGAAGACAAGATCTATGATGATCCACCAGATATTTTCAATGAAGATGTCAAACGCTATGGTGCTGCTTACGCAAAATACAAGGCAAAAATAATGTCTGAAGACCCAAGTCTGTCAGACAGTAGAAACCTTGTCCACTGTACCAGAGTGAAAGATTTGGACGAAGAATCTATAGAGGGATACAAAGAAGACAGCGATGATGGATTTTACTATGGTCAAGAAGAGGACTCTGAACAATTTCGGGAACAATATGGTCGTGACTCATCTGATGAGTACAGCCCGGATTGAATATAAAACTTTTTCTTGATATATAGGTATTTTAAGTGATTAAATATTGTCAATATTTTTGTATGTTAATATTAAATGTCAATATTGCAATTATTTTCATGAGAGGAATGGTATATATGAAACCGATTAATTCAACCTCCTTCACTATTACTGAATATAATAAAAGGAATGTCTTACTAATTATATCATGAAATACAAAATCAAAATATCGTTTTGAATGCTTTTATTTAAATATTTTCGTGTTGGAGTTACACTACAAGTCATGCTTTGACAACTCCCTGGCGCCGTGGCTTAGTAATGAGTTATAACGTTATAGAGCTACATAACTGACAGAGTCAAATGCATCTGTGAGTGATTATACCTATGAAAAATTGACGAAATCTTTCTTTTATTCCCCTGTGACCTTCAAAAAATAAATAAAACGAACACAGCAAATGATAGATTTAGATGTTAATGTAAAAAAAAATGCTTTAGTGTCATTCACATTCAACGAGAAAACCAAAAACGTCTTTCTGATATCCTTTCCAGTCCAGAAGCTTGAAAACGTCTTCCAATGCAGCGGTGAAGAGTTTCGGGGATATGACGTCACCCTGTCTTACACCTCTCTGCAATTGGATAGGTTTCGTACTCTGGTTCTGTACTCGGATAGCCATCGTAGCCCTACTGTACAAGCACTTCAACACTTCGATATACCGACAGTCAACTTGGCACCGCTGAAGGGACTGCAGCACCGCCCAAATTTCGACGGAATCAAAGGCTTTCTCATAGTCCACATACGCCAGACATAGTGGCAAATTGTACTCTTCGGACTTCTGTACAATTTGCCGGAGGGTATGTATGTGGTCTATGGTGCTAAAGCCCTTTCGGAAACCGACTTGTTCGGGAGGCTGGAAGTCGTCAAGTCTGCGCGCGAGACGATTCGTAATGACTCGAAAACAGCACGTAGACGCGGCTCAGAAGGGAAATCGGTCTGTAGTTCTTCAAGAGAGCGTTGTCACCTTTCTTGAAGAACAAGACCACCGCACTTCTGCTCTCTCAATAGTGTCGGATGAGACTCGCTCTTGGATCGTTACTCACTCTTGCGTGTGGCTCCAACGATGACGTGTACAGCTGCCCATAGAACCTCTCAATCTCACTCAAAATCTCAGGTGTCCCGGAAACGATGCTGCCACATTCTGTCGTCAGCTTTGACAGGTGGCTCTTTCTGGCAGACAGATCTCTGGCAAAGACTTTGGAGCCTTGGTTCCGCTCGATCGCTTCTTCAATACGAGCTGTATTGAAGTTGCGTAAGTCCCGCCGCATGCATTTGGAGATCTGTCTGTTCAGATGCCTGTATGCTGTCAAGTCTGTTGAAGAATGTAGCTTCATCTCCCGTCTAACAGCCATGAGATTAAGAGTGTGATCGGAGAGTTTTTGTGTTCTTCTGCGGCGGGTCTTGCAGAACTTAGCTCCGACTGCGTGGACAGTTTCCACGAGCTTGTCATTCATATCGTCCACTTCATTGCAGTCTTCTAGGCACTGAAAACGGTTTTGTAACTCGAGCTGAAAGGTTTCGGGACTTTGGAACAGAGCACGAGGGGGACGGAGCGTTGACTTCATTAGACGAGACCTCTCCAACTTAACGTTTAGGTTCAGTGTGCCTCTAACCATTCGGTGATCGCTACCAGTTTTCACCCTCGCGATCACGGAGACATCACTGAACAGTTGTCGTCTGGTCGTCATAATGAAGTCAATCTCATTTTTTGTCGAACCGTCGGGGCTCGACCAGGTCCACTTCCTGTGGGGCCGCTTCTGGAAGAAAGAGTTCATCATAAAGAGTCCCTCTTTCTCCATGAAGTCGGCCAGCTGCTGGCCCTTTGAGTTCCGTTGCCCTATTCCAAATTTCCCTACTTTCAGCTCACCGTTCTCTCTTGTGCCTAGTTTTGCATTGAAGTCTCCCATTAACACCGTATATTGGGTTTTGGAGGAATGCATGGCTCTAGAGATATCCTCATACATTTCCTCCACCTCCTCATCGGGGTGTGCCGAGGTTGGTGCGTAAACCTGTATGACCTTCAGCGAATACCGTTTGGTGATTCTGAGTATAAGGTACGCAACCCTCGTCGACACACTCCCGATCTTTACAACGTTGTTAACGAGAGACTTGTGGACGATAAATCCGACACCTCCTTGGGACAGATGGTCGCCCTCCCGGTGATAGAGCAAGTTGCCGGATTCGAGGATTACCGTGTCCTCCCCCTCTCTTCGGACTTCGGATAATCCTATAATATGCCAGCGCAACTTGTCTATCTCTTCTTCCAGCTCCACGATCTTCTCGTCAGTCCTCAGGGTGCGTGCGTTGTACGTTGCCAGGTCGAGTCGTCTAAGGTGGCAACCGAACCTCCACCGGAGATTCTTAGCACCCCCTGCCCCGCCGTTACCATGGTCGCCACCGTAGCCAGGAATAGCGGGGCCGCCGGGGACTGGGGGCCGTCTCTTTGTTACATTCATAGGGGGGTATTTGCCATAGTTGCCACGCTTGGCGAGCGGGTTGGCAACCGCAGTTTTTTTATTGTAATTTTGGCTATTATCAGGAAGATGCTGCTGCCCATCTCCTGCCTGTTTCCCTTTGTCGCCTTTTACGACACCCGTACACTGCTGTGGAAACAGTTATCCATCAGTTTATTTTTTGTGCGGATCACAATAAACGACTTTTTTTAAAAATAAAACTGAAGTGATAAACGAACTTACTGTCCAACTGATGGCTCGTGGCCAGGGCTCGGAGACGTAATTAAAAATAACGTTTTTAAAACGTTTGGGACGGTTCCTTTTATAACATTTTGTTCAGAACAAAAACGAAATGTGAAAACTTAATAAACGGTTAATTCCGCAGGAAGCTAAATGAATGGCGCGTGCCACGACCAGTTTCAATCTATAAGGTATTTTTGTTTCGTATTGCAGGGCCAAAAATGGGAAAAAACTTTAAAATGGTTAAGAACGCTTTATTGAACAAGAACGATTTAGAATTTCGTTCTCATCATAAACGTTTTTATTATGATTCCGTTCGAACATAAACGAAACAAATAAGTTTTTAGATATAGCGAAAACGTTTCGAAAAATATACTGTTATCCGAGCCTTGCTTGTGGCTATCGCAGTCCATGGACATATGCAACAAACATCAAATAAAGAAGGGAACAGATGCGTTATCACTGCTGTGGAGTGAGGACAAAGATGGAATGCTTCCCAACCTTAGAGTATTAAACTAATACTCTAAGTTCCCAACCTAATATTAAACTGGCTCTCTATACCCTTCATAACTAAACACCGCAGTTGAAGCTGAAGCACTGCTATTTGGCAGCAAAAACAGGTTACCCAGATTTTTTTTTATAGGATCTGGTGACAAACGAGCACACAGTCCACCTGATGGTAAGTGGTTACTGTAACCCATAGACATCTACATCTATCCTCAATAACGACTCAAGATTCAGATGTGTTGTCACCTGTGAGGACTAAGATGGAATGCCTCTTTGCCAGTAAAAAGGGTCTCCAGTTCTCTACACTCACCATACGAAACACAGCAGCGTTAAGCTGCTATTTTACGCTGGTTTTCTGTGAGAGCGTGATCCTTCCCCTGTCGAGCCGACTCATTCGTGCTACAACCATAATATAGCTGCAGCATAGCTTTACCACGTAAAAAAAGACACAAAAAGAGTGTTACCATTTTGTGAATACTACTGCAACATAATATATTATATTATATTTGGCATAAATGGGCTAATCCAAATATAATATCAATCACATATTTGCATTTCAGTCTTACTTCGGCGCCTGCCATTTTTAGCACAGCAAACATTTCAGAGATAGCTAAACCTTACAGTATTTAATGATTTCTTATATTTACGCAAACTACACATTAAATGAAACTAATCTTTACGGATTCTATAGAGACTGAGGTGTTTGACGTCCCGAACTATGACATCGGGACGTCAAACACCTCAGTCCTCCCGTGACCATGGGTGCTGTTAAGCACCCGAAATGTCGGTAATTAAAAAGTAAAATTGAACGTGATAGAATCTGTAAAGAATGTGTTGAATGAAATGTTTACCAGGGACAAATAGTCCGACTAGGTAAGTCCAACTTCGACCGAGAGGTCAATCGACGGATTCAACTCGGCTGGGCAGCGTTCGGGAAGCTACGACACATCTTCTCGTCAGACATACCTCAAAACCTTAAAACGAAATTGTACAACCAGTGCGTGTTGCCAGTGATGACTTACGGAACTGAGACGTGGTCCTTCACTGCTGGCCGTATGAGGAAGCTCAAGGTCGCTCAGCGAGCTATGGAGAGGGCTATGCTCGGAGTTTCTCTGCGTGATAAACTTAGGAATAAGGATATCCGCAGTAGAACCAGAATAACCGACATAGCCCAACGGATTAGTAAGCTGAAGTGGCAGTGGGCCAGCCATATAGCTCGAAGAACCGACAACCGATGGGGAAGAAAGGTTCTCGAGTGGCAGCCTTGTACCGGTAGGCGAAGTGTAGGGCGTCCCCCCACGAGATGGAGTGACGACCTGGTAAGACATGCAGGAAGTCGATGGATGCAGGTGGCTCAGGACCGTGCTTTGTGGCATTCTTTGGGGGAGGCCTATGTTCAGCAGTGGACTTGTGAAGGGCTGTAATGATGATGATGATGAATATTATATATAGTATGTATATAGTTCCTAGGAACTAAGCTAACCAAACAATTCAAACCAACATCCTGCCCATAGGAGTCCTTAGAATTTTTGCTTACATTCGTTCGGGGCCTCTGTAGCCCGGGGGCCCGTATCATTGATACGGCTGATACGGCGGGCGGTAGCTACGCCCCTGGTTCTAAGTCGACATGCTTCGCAGGCAGATTAAAGAACGCAGTACATGTCAGATATGTCGCACTTTTCCGTCGCTGGAATACTAAAATAGCCAGGATATTTTAGGTCTAGATTAAAATAAAATAGTTATACCGTCATTTATTTCAAGTCTAA